ATGTTAAAATCGCTTTGGTTTAACAATGTCTTAATTTTTTTTACTGAATTTTATTTACCGAATTGCTAAATTTATTGAACAAATATCATTTATTACTTAATCTAAAAGGTTCATTAAGCAGCAAAAAGAGATTATTAATTAATTGATGACGAAGAAAAAATACAGTTAATTATTAAAAAATATTTTAAGATTAACATATTCATGATAAGAACAGATACTGTGAAAAGTGACAAAATATTTATCTTGTTCATAGTGAAAAATAAAAACAAATCTATCCCACGGGAACCATACATTTTCCGGGATAAAAGTAAACTATGTGCTATTCATCCCGGATTCCGATTTCATTTCAAACAAATCAGTTTATTCATTCTGGCAAAATTGAGTAATAAACATCCATCCAAACTTTCGCATTTATAATACTGGCAACTCACCCTCACTTCACTTCGGGTTCGTCCCTAGTCAAAACAAAGCAAATCTCACGGAACCACACATTTTTCCATTATAAAAGTAACCTATGAACTATTCCAGATTATAATCTATCACTGTGCCAAATTCCATCCAGATTCGTTCGGCCGTTCTGGAGTGATTGAGTAACACACATACATCCATCCATCTTCCAAACTTTCACACTTATAATATTAGTCTGGATTAATGGGATTACGTGATTAACATATATCACGCCAAAACAAACTTCACGCTTTCACTAGGTATTGGGAAACACGATGCAAATTCTAATTTGTAATCAAAGGGGTAGGTAACGGTACGAGTATAATTCATAGATGGACAGATTTTGTTTCCTATAAATATAATCGTATACCTATACCATACTGTAGCAACACAAAAACAGCTTGTATTAAATATTTAGAAAAGTTCTTAGAAAGCTCTTTTAATACCAGATAAAGATCTGGATAGAAAGATTAGATATTAAATGTTAACCTTTTTCCAATTCATTTCAAAAAATCCTCAGTCCTGGAGAAACTCAGCAAGATCAATAAAAAATACAAATATTTTATTTAAATAGAATTATAAATAATATTTTTAAATATAATAACAAAAACATATAATACTTATACTTCACGACAGTGCATTTTGCGTAGTAGTAAAAATAATATGCTTGATTCAGGTCAGCTTGATTTTTGATAAACGGCATATATGTATTTCTAGTTTAAACAAATATTTGACATAACATGGTATAAAAATATGCTCATACAATTATTACCCAATGGTCTGTATATCTCACTTATGTCTCAGTTATATCATAAATGAGATAATAATATTAGGTCCTTACATATGTAATTGGCGTTTTTTCGAACTTGCCAATTTGATCTCAAATATCTGGCGTTTGGTTACAAATTCAAATTTATATCAATATTTGGGCTTATGTATTTGTGTTTTGAATTTAATAATTCATTTGTTACCGTGCCATTTCATTTTTCTTTGACATCGTTCTGTTCACAATATGGAAAATTTAAAATATCGTTTTATTTACGAATACGAGTTCCACCGTGGCACCAGCGCTGCAGAAATAGCTTCAAGGATTAATGATGTATATGGGAAAGCTACTGTTAGAGACAACGCGGTTCGTTTTTGGTTCCAACGTTTTCTTTATGAAAATGTTGACTTACAGAACAAGCCATCGCAAGCCACGTCAGACTTAGCTTAGGTGTGAGTGATAAAATTTTTCTTCTTCAATTTTAATTCACTTGAAACAAAATGGAAAAGTGAAAACCATTAAAAATGAACATGAATTGATTGAAGCACACCAACAAACATGCTTCGAAGGCTGTGTTATATTACTAAACGTCACAATAACCGTCACAAGTAAAAATGGATTCTATACTATAATCGCTCATCACAATCACAAAAACAATCCCAGGAGAACCGGCAAAATCCAACCTTAAGCAAAAGTAGACTCAGAAAAAGATACTGGTAAGTGTCGAGTGGACCAGTGCTGGTTTCTTCCACTATAGCTTCCTAAAATCTGACAAGACGATTATGGCAGATCTGTATTGTCAACAATTGCAAACCATGATAATAAATAAATATGTTGGGACATTAACATACAGCACCATCTACTTCCATGGTAAACTACGAGGCTTGTGTTATGGATACCAGATAGTTGATACACTACACATATATAACTTTAAATACATACATATTATAAATATTAATACCCATGACTGGAGTACAAACATTTGTGCTCATCACACAAACAAATGCCCCCAGTGGGACTCGAACCCGTGACCGCTGGCACAGCAAGTAAATATATTATAAATACACAAACAAAAACAAATATATCCCACGGGAACCGTAATTTTTTCGGGATAATAAGTAGCCTGTTTGTTATTCTGATGTATGAACTATATTATTGTAAAGTTTCATTAAAATCCAATCAGTAGTTTTTGTGTACTAAGCTGTATAAATTAATATAGTTTCTTAACTACCCCACAGGAAGTCTTTGATTTTCTGGGATGAAAAGTAACTAAGATAGTGACCGGGAATATAAGGTAACACCATGCAAAATTTCATTTAAATCAGTTCAACGGTCTTGGAGATTAGCCCATACAAACAGACAAACAGACAGAGAAACTAAATTTTTTGAATAAAACTGGATTTTTTCTATTTCTTTCTTCTTAACCCCCCTGACTCGGTTATTAGCATTATTTTTCTATGTACAGACATTCGACCTCTACAATTATATTATTATTATGTATAGATAACCATCCATGACCGGAGTACAAGCATTCGTGCTCATCATACAAATGAATGCCCTTAGCGAGACTCGAACTTGCGACCGCTGGCACAGCAAGTAGGGTTACTACAAACTAAGCCAAACGTGTCGTTAATAGATGAATGGTGAAAAAGCTAGCCGTCAAACTGAGACTGGTCAATTGCTGTAGCCCACTGCTTCTTGAGAACAACGCTAGACCACACACTGCACAGCTGACGATCTCTAAGTTAGAGCTGCGAAATTTGAAATACCTACGACAACTGCCATACTCCCCAGACCTTCCTCCACCCACTTTTACCGGAATTTAGACAATTTCTTGCACGGAAAAAAATTCAATTCCAATGAAGCAATCAAAACCACCTTCGGGGATTTTCTTGATTCTCGCTCCCACAATTTTGCGCATAGGTAACATATGTACTTTTATTGATTAAATACATAATTTCATTATATATTTTTCTTATTTTGCTTTTTCCATATAAAATGGCAATTTCGTATTTAACCTAATATATATTTATATAGAATTTTATAGATGCCAGTAATTTAATTCGTGACTATGATTGATTTGGGTCAAAATATATTCAATAACATTTCGGTTAAACAATAGAATGAGTATTAATTAAATTTAAGTTGGAAAGCCGAATTCTGGTCAATACTATGAAGCGGAAAGGCTAAATTTGTCCCTATCGAAAATCCCACTGTTTACTAAGTTTTCAGATCGAAATGATCTTAAAATATGTAATATTAATTCAAGATTCCAGATGATGTTGAAGATTCAAATATTTTTATCTGGAAGTTAACGGAATTTAGTAAATAAACGTAACACAATATTATAAGCAAATTCTTCTCTTGAAAATTGAAAATCGCCTCTCATCAGAGCAGCCAATCTCATGCAGTTAAGTCGCGTATTTTACAATATGCTAAATATATATATATATATATATATATATATATATATATATATATATATATATATGTATATATACTAGCATTGCCCGCGGCTCCGCCCGCGTTCAGTAGACCAAACACGAAATACTTAGGTTTTACATATTAGTATACTCTTACTTTGCAGTTCCTCCTGTATGTTGACCCGGATAACCAGCTATCAAAATCCTTCCAGTGGTTTTTATGTGATGCTGTAACAGACAAACAGACAAAAATTCTATAAACTATGGATTCGACCTCTGTATCGATAATAATGTTTATTTTAATAAGATTTTCCAAAAAATATTTAATGTACAGATTCGGCTTAGTTATAATTTTATTATATGTATAGATAAATTAAAAAACATAGCCCATAAATAAATAATTAAAAAAAAAAACAAGTTAGGCATTTACTTTTAAATAGCAAAAAATATTTCGTTCGACATTGAAAATTCAATGATAGAAAATTCAAAAACTGATGAAAGAGTAAAAAGTTTAATCCGGTGTAAAGGAATTTTAAATTGACCCGACCAATGATCCGACTAAATAGATCCAGATGTTAGTACATTCGCTAAATCCATATACTTACGTATATAAATTAAATTTATCGTCTGATATATGTACCTAATCTATATAGTATAGATAGATTGTAAAGCTTTAAAGATTATTCCTTTATTAATTGAAGCACTCTAATAGGACTCCCATAAATCATTTACTCATATAAAACAAATACAGTCCACTTACAACCTGATCTACTAGCGATTTATCATATTATTTACTGGTAGCGCCACCTTTTGGCACTTTTAATTACTAACATTGGCCTATGTGTTAATTATGCAAGTCATAGTTTATCTGTGTTCTAAACTTCATCCCAATCCCTTCAATTGTTTCAGCATGAATGAGAACCAAGAAACAAATACACAGAGAGATAGAGAGAGAGAGAAAGAGATACAGATAGAGAGAGATGCAAGCACACGCACTCACATATACACACTCACGAACTCTCATATTTATAATATTAGTGTGATTTAATGAATATATATATATATATAAAATATAGACTAATACTTCACGATATTATAAGTAGAGATATACGACCCTTATAAGTAGATAAGTAGAGCAATTACATGCATACAAATCCTAGTCCCATTATAAGTATGAAAGCTTGTTTTGTAAAGTTGTAGTGGTAGTAAAAAACACACTTTTACATTTATATTATTAAGTGTGATTTAAAGTGTTGAATGAATAGCTGATACTTGTTTTGTTAACATTTTAGAATATGTATAAGCTATTGTGTGTGTTGATTCGCAAGAAACCTCCTATTTTTCACTTGATCTCCTTGTTCCAGCTGAATTTCAACCCGATCACGTCGTTTCTCTTCACGCTGGACTTCTTCATCATCGTGTTGAACGTGAGTACTGTTTATAAATTACTAAATAACAATTTCTTACATTTACGGGAATATTTGACATTTTCGATGAAACCATCTTATAATCCGAAAAGTTTGTTTTTTTTATAATATAATATATAAAAAATTAACAATAGCATCTCACTGTAGTTATGAGGCTATAAAAATGAAAAATAAATCAAGCACGTTTTAAAATGAGAAGAACAAAAGCAAAATAAATTATATTAATATTTTGATTATAATTTAATTAACATTAATAGCCAACATAAAGTATCATAATTTAACCACCAAGGTGGTCTAGTAGCTAGCACGTAGGACAGAGATCCGGAGGTCCTGGTTTCGATTCCTGGGTCGGGCTAAGTTTAGTTATTGAGTCTCTATGTTACAAAAGTTTCAGTAACAGCCCGGAGTTGGGAAGTTGGTGGTGTTTCATCCCCGTACTTGTAGAGCACGTGAAGCCTTCGGGTCTTGCGCTTTAAGTCTAACTAGTCGTGTCGAGTGGTCGTCCCACCGGAGTATGAGAGTGACAGGAACAGAGAGTGCACTTGTGTCTGTGCGTACACACGCTGCACTATAATATCTCCCGCACAGTGAGTCTCTCACAAAGTGTCTGTATTCAAGTAAAACATTAAAACGCACAACTAGCAATAAAAACAAATTAAATTATAATATAGCGGTCATTGCAACTGCTTTATTCCAGTGGATATAAACCTATGTTTATATCAGAGAGTATGGAGGGAGCAAAAATTTTATTCTAAGGAGGGATTCACGTTCCCCAAATAAATTCGACGTACCTTTCTTCTTAGCAATTAATCTTACAATAGACAAACAAAGGGAAAAACATAATTTGAACAAGTTGTTAATTAATTCGTTAATTTACATTATTACTAGGCAAATTCAATACTTACTTTGGCAAATATATATTTACTCACTGTAACAGTCTTCTTCTCCCTGCCCATTTCCCAATCACTTGGGGTCGGCACAGTACATCTTCTGTACTGCTGATAGGATTTGGCAAAAGTTTTACGACCGGCCGCCTGCCTGACGTCAACCCTCCTTGGGAATCGAATCCCTCACTGTAACAGTACCTACATAATTTATATGGAAATATGACGAAAATAATCTATGCATATAATAAAATTATAACGAAGCCGAATGAGTACATTAAATATTTTTTGGAAAATCTTATTGAGATAGTCATTATTATGGATTCAGAAGCCGAATGTATAGTTTTTAGAATTTTTGTCTGTCTGTCTTGGAACGCATCACGAGAAAACCACTAGACAGATTTTGATAATATTTAATATGATGATAACTGGTTATCCGGGTCAACATATAGGATACTTTTTACTGCGGGAAAGTATATCATATCTGAGAAATCTATACTAACCATCAAAACGCACCAAAGGACGAACCCGAACAGAGCGAGGGTGAGTCGTTAGTTAAAATTATATTGGCTAAAAAAAATCTATTTTTTTTCTAACTTTTTGGCAAATATATTTTAATTTTTCTTACCCGACGTTTCGTTTGTTTTATAGCAAAAATGTTCACGGGAGAATAGCTCGAAAAAATAGTGTTTCATTGAAAATGTGTTTGTTGTGTATTCAACTTGTTAGCCCGGTGGTTAGCATGTACGACTGCAGATCCGTAAGTCCTGGATTCGATTCCTGTTTAGAGCAAAGTATTGATATTGAGTTGGTCGGGCAAAGAAAGTTGGTGGCGTTTCTCTCCTGTGCTTCTGTAAAGTAAAGCATTCCTACGCCAGATATTGCACCGGTCGTGCCTAATTATAGTTTAGATAGTGCTTGAGAGTTAAAAATATGCTGATGTTTACAGCTAAATATTTTTCATTCGGTTAGTAGATGAGTGATCTATGACCTAACATTGAATCTTAGACTATATTCTGATTTTTAAAATAAGAATTATTGAAGATAATTGTTTTATTGAAATTTGAAACTTAATTATATAAAAAGAATCATGTCTTATCGAACTACGACCACTTAAGACATAAAATAGTAAAAAAGGTACCAATATATTCTAATTTAAAATAATACAAAGCTGAACAGGTCGAATTGATTACGGTCGCGTATAAGTAGGCTCAGGATCCGTGACCTTTTGTACGTTTACACACGGTTACATCTCCCGTGTAGATACATATTATATCTGAAATTGGTCTAAGTTGAAACTTTATGATAAGAATATTTTTTCTACCACTATATTTAATTTTTTCTCTATAGTTTAACAATCTATAGGTACATATAATAAAATTCTAACTGAGTCGAATCTGTACATTAAATGTTTTTTGGAAAATAATAATTGTAAAAGTCATTATTATTGATACAGAGGCCGAATCTATAGATTTTAGAATTTTTATCTGTCTGTCTGTGTGTGACCGCATCACGGAAAAACGACAGGAGGGATTTTGATCAAATTTGGTATGACTCATATTTCTTATACTTATATTAATCAAGCTCGTTTAGTGCCATAAAAGAAAATCACAATAGCTGGCGTACAACGCCATGACAGATTATTCAATTTTATAATCAAAAATCGGACAAGCCCGAGTCTGACTGGCCTGGTTCCGTAGTATAAAAAAATAAATTGACATTATGTTTTAATCTAGTAATTAGTCACATAAGAACAGAAGAAAAGCGGGATAGACGGACGGACGGATATGGCGAAATTGTTGATGGTCTAAATTCACTAATCTACTCATCTTCAACTACTAATCAGTATTGAAAACATATGAATAGAATTTATATAAATATATAAATATATATATATATATATAAAATCGGTCAAGTGCGAGTCGAATTCGTACACGAAAGGTTCCTTACTATCGTACATGTACTTTTTATTAATATGACTTTTATTCTTGGTATGTAGTATATTAACTTCGTTGATCGATTACGAACGTTCAAAAAGAAATATTATTTTATTATTTGTTGATAAAGCAGCAATAGGAATACATACTCTGTGAAAATTTTAACTCTCTACGTAATACGGTTCATGAGTTACAGCCCTCTGACAGACGGACGGACAGCGGAGGCATAGTAATAGGGTTCTATTGGCACCCTTCGGGTACGGAACCCTAGAAAGTAACTAGTACCAAAATTTTATTGATAACCTTACCTAAGCCTTATTAACGAAAAAAGAGAAAATCCATTGACAAACAGGAGAAAAAGCTACGGAAATGTTTTGTCTTTGTCTATTTATATATAGATCCCCATACATTCCCCGTCTTAATTATACTTCCACCCTGTATTTTCACACAGACAGACATGTCGTACGCACCCTTTATCGATTTACCATAACTTTGCCCTAGATAACGAGGGCTCGGAATAAATAAATTGTAATTTCATCACGCGTTCTCCGTTTTATACCATTTCGTTGTCATATCCGTAGCCTTCTCTAAAAGTAAACCTGTACACTAAATGGCTTATGCATTTTGATCTTATCCTTTAGAGTAATTTTACTAACGCGTTGTTTTAATTCATTTGTGAAGATATCAAATTCATATTTACCTTACCAGATGAGATCAAGATTTTAGTACTAACATATTTATCAAAATCGGTTTAATGTTACGAGTACTTATATTCGATGTGATGTATATTATTTCATCGCACTTTGAAATTATTATCTCCAAATTTATTATATACTTGTTACAGACAACAAAAATGGTACTGTGACTAAGGTTTTATAAAACCTTAGTCGCTCCCGAGACAATGATTGCTGTAAAGCATTCGAAACGTTGGGAACGAAAAATCCAAATAAATCCGCGAAAAAAGCCGAAAAGATAGTTTTTTTGAGCTTTTACTCTAGTCTCTAGGTGCTTTTTTGTACGTAATATAATATACATGCAACGCCATCTTTTAGCAAATTTTATTAGTAACAGTAGCGTAACAAACATACAAATCAAATCAAAATATACTTCATTCAAATAGACTTTTACAAGCACTTTTGAATTGTCAATTTTACATTTTAAATTTAAGTTAGTTAAATGTCATGAGGATTCTACTACCGGCTCGGAAGGCAGTTCTGCTGAGAAGATCCTGCACAAACATACATAAAACCTATTTAATTATAAATGTATTTATTTATAAATGTGAAAAAATATTTTTTACTTATTAATTTAATACATAATAATGTATTAAATAAAATAAATCTGAGAAAAGGAGAGATATACTACTAACTGTAACAATCTTACTAATGTTTAGAATATGAAAGTTTAAATATTTGGATGTTTGGATGGATGTTTGTCACTCTTTTACGCCAAAACGGCTGAACGGATCTGGATTAAATTTGGCACAGGGATAGATTATAGTCTGAAATAGTGCATAAACTACTTTTTATCCCAGAAAAATACTCGGTTCCCGTGGGTTAGATGTGTTTTTGTATTTCTAGAGGCGAAGCAAAGGTTAGCCGCTAGTCTATACATATAATAAAATTGTAACTAAGCCGAATCTGTAGATTAAATATTTTTTGGAAAATCTTATTGAAATAGACATTATTATTGATACAGAGGCCGAATCTATAGTTTTTAGAATTTTTGTCTGTCTGTCTGTTACCGCATCACAGAAAAACCACTGGAGGGATTTTGATGAAATTTAGTATGGTGATAGCTGGTTATCCAGGTCAACATATAGGATACTTTTTACCGCGGAAAAATATCTCATTTCTGAGAAAAAATACAAAAACTGCATTGTAAGAGTATAACTAATATATATGTAAAACCTAAGAATTTAGTTTTTGGTTATCTGAACGCGTACGGAGCCGCGGGCGATGCTAGTAAAATATAAAAAAATTGTGTTGTATTGCACACATTATAATTTCAAACCGATTAAACACCTTTAACAAAAAAATATTCTAAACTGCTATATTTTTGTATTAACGTACTCATAAGTAAGCTACAAAAATTTTCTAATATTATAAAGAAATATATTGCACAAGAGTAATATTTTACCAGTTCACTAGTAAGAAAGAAGTTCTTTTGAAATTCTTTG